GTGATTTTTTAGCGTCCCCTGTGGCCAATTTCAAGCAGAAACCAAAAGGACACCAACCCAGCACCCAGCCAACTTGCCGGCGTGTTGCCATGTCAAAAATCACCAAAAACGGGAACCGAAAAGCAGTTGCAAGTTGGGACCCAGGCGCCTCTGTTCTATAACCAGCTCGGGCCCCATGATCGAAGTCTATGTTGGGGATTCCTGATGTGTGGGTGTGTGTTTGTTATGAAGGATACCTTGTTGTTGTTTTGTTTGCGGTTTCAAAGGAAATCCAACCATGGCAAGCCGCCGTGTTTTTTCCTTGGTGCTTTTTGAAGGGACACACGCACACACACCCATGTCCGGCGAATGTTTCCAGATCCCCAATGCAGCACAGGAATCTCCTTCCCCGATCCGTTTTGCGTTCCCATCAGGCGGAGAGAAGACGCCGGAGAAAGCAGAGGCGGAGACGCGGGCAATCCTACCATAGTTTCGCTCTCACCGTCTCTCACCCATCGGGTCAAAGAGTGTCTAGCTCAATGTGCAGAGGCCCAAAGGGGAATGAAGCTTTTGGCGACGCAGATGCCGTCCATGTAGAGTTGCAAGTAATTCGCAGTGCTCCAAAAGCGCACGCGCCGAAATCCCCCAATAATTTGAAGCGACCCTAGGCTCACTTGCCCAAAGCAAGCGAGCAAATGGGCGATTCGCAGGTTTCCCCTGCGGCACACAAAAGGCGAGGATGAAAATGGACCAGAAGAGTCGTTTCGCTCCACGGACAGGCCGAACATCAAAGACACCGCCAAAGGCTAGGGGCCACTTCGCCTTAAGGCAAACAAACCCGGAGTGTCTCTTGGAACTTCCATGGCACTGTTTTTTTTTGGGGGGGTCGTTTTTTGGTGTCTCCTCAAAAAGGCACCAAGAAAAACACTCCGAAGAAGGCAACGTCCGGCCCGAACTGTGCAAGGGCCCGTCGTTGCCCCGCGCATCCGCCCTTCACATTTTGCGACACCTCAGATTCGTGGAATCCGCTTCGCGACATCGAGGCATGCGTCGTGGCCACACGTTGGGATCTACCCAGAGGGTCCCCAGGTCCTTTTGAGTTGGTACCTTTTTGAGGTTAAGGAGAGGTTTCCCATCTATTAACCTCAGGTTCAAATCCCCAAACCACCAATCCAAACCACCACCTAGGGGTTACTTCCATTTGCTTAAGATGTTGTTTTCCTTTAATGTATTTTTGTTTTTTTGTTTTAAATATTGTTTAAAGGGAATCGATCACTACTGTTTTTTTTGTTCAGAGGGCTTAAGCAAATGGAAGGTTACCTGAAATTTCCTTGAACCCGGAACAACTCAAAGCGCCCCAGGTCCCCTCCAAAAAGAATGCAACCGAGGCGAGGCATGCAGTCGAGGCATGAAGCATGGCCTTGTCTCACAAAATTTGTTTATGCGTTACCCAGTGGATCCCAGTTTCCACGACCCAGTTGTTCAGTGGCCTCAATTCGTTTTCCAACTTTTTTTTGGTGGCTGCCCCACTGAAATGGTCTTCCCAAAAAAGGGTTCCCTGTTTTTCCAGGGTCACTGAACAACTGAGACTAGTGCATTTTGCCAAGGGATGTTAGGACTGAACAACTTTTTGCCAACCAATGGGGTTTCCGTATTAAACCACTAAAAGTTCAACTTTAGCAGGGGAGCAGAAAGCAACCGAGAACAGGTACCCAGCCATTTTCCTTTTGGTTTTGAAAGGCTTGGTTTTCTTGGTCACCTAGCAGAGTTGGAGTCTCTGGGAAAGGCTAAGTATCAGAATCTGAAGATCTAAGTTTCGAGTCCCGACTTGGGAAGGGAAACCAAAACTTCACTGTTCTTGGCATGTTTTTTAGTTTTTTTTGTTGTTTGGTTCTGTTCATTTTTACTGGGGGTCTGCGAAAAGCAAAGTTTTTGGCTACCATACCAAGAGTAGAGATGCAAAAGGAGACTGTGCAAACAGCGGTTGGCTCACTTCCCGAGTTCCTGGACTGCGCGCCTTTCGGATTTCGGCCGTGCGAGTGGTAAAAATCGACAGTTTGGACTTCGTTGGGGCCAGCCGCTCAGGAAATAAGTTTAAATAGGCCACAGCCAAGGGTACCCCAGGGTTAACTTCAAGGTAGGAGGTGTTGCTCCGTTTTTTCTCACGGTTTTACCCAAGTGCACCCTGCAATTGAACAGTCTCCAGATTTTCAGCGGGGTTTGAGGGCCCGTTGATTCAGGTGGCCATGGGTCAGAAGCCCGTACCCCCAGTGAACATCCCAATCCCCACTGAAATAGGTTCTACAATGGGTGGTGAATTCACCTACCCCAAAATGGGACCCCAACACGGTTTTGACCACCACAGCCAGGTGTTGGATTCTCGTTTTGTCGTTTTTGCAGGTCTTTATTGGCCTCCGATGTCGAGCTGGAGGTTTCATTTCACCACATCTTTTCCGGGCGTGTCGGAGTGCGGAGAGTCGTTTCAGGGTCGTCGGAGTCCGAGCCATTTTTTGCCCATGGAACCCCCAGAGGCAGGTCAAAAAGAACCGCCAGGAAGTTGATCCACTTGTTAAAAACGGGCCAACCAGTAAATTCATCAACTTCAGGGAAGGTCTCCAGAATTGAAAACAACATTTGATTTGGGAAACCCGGAAAGTTGATCCAACTTAAGCCGCGGGTCTTTTGCCACCTTTTGTGGAAAATTGATCGACCCCCTCGTAGTGAAGGATTCCTTTTTGAGGGGGTCGCCCATTTTCTCACAACAGGGGGGAAAAAGACCCCCCTGAACACTTCAGGGAAAATCTCCAGAATTGAAAACAACTTCTGTTTTGGGCCAACCCGTAAAGTTGATCAGTGCTTAAGGGAAGCCAAGCTCCCGTGCTGCACTGGTGAGGTCAAAACAAGACGGGGCTGATGATGGTCTTCCAGCAGCTGGGCGACCTCCCGATGCCCAAGGCGGCGGGAGGGGAGCCGCCGAGTAATTATCCGGACGGATCTTTTTTTTTTTTTTTTTTTCCGGCTGAGAGACACCCGGCCGGAAGCGGAATCGGAAGGTTTATGAGTATTATGATTATTATTATGTTGTGTCGTGATTTATGCATTTAGTTTTTTGTTTGCTTTTCTTTTCCTGAGTGCAGCCAGCGCCCAGAAAGAACGCACCGCGTGGCGTATGTTTTTCAGGCGTCCGGTTCCTTAGGGTTTAAGTTCCTCGGGTCCCGTCCCTTCTTTTTCTTGGCGGTTGCCAGCGAATCGTCCGGTTCCTGAAAGGGTTTTAGCTGGTTTTTAGGCGGTTTAGTGGTTGGGTGTCCATTTAAGCCACTAAAAGTCAAACTTTTAGCAGGGATCTGAGGACAGCCCAGTTTGGTTGCCCTACTTGTGATTCTTGGGACATGGAAAACAAAAACACCGTTGTTGGGGGGGGGCTCGTAGCTGCCTGAAGTGTTTTGGGGGACATGATGTGATCGCAAATGGCTGTGGGTCAACCCAATCCCCACTAAAATAGACTAAAATGGGTGGTGCACCTACCCCAAAATGGTACCATTGGTTTTGACCCACAGCCAAACGAGGAAATGGAAGACCGGGGTCGTTTACCCACTTGAGAAAACCGTACAAAATGGAGGTGTCCAAGCGCCAGCCGGAGGCGATTGTTTGAGCAAAGAGTGAACCCACCTTTGGTCGGCGTTGTAAAGGGGAAACAAAAGGACACCCAGCATTCCAACGAACCACGATTTGGAGACCCCCCCCCGTTTTGGGGGATATTTGGTATCAGTTGAGACAAGTTCAGCGGCCAATCCAGGGAAGTCGGGTGGGTGGGTGCAGGGTGCGGGGTGGAAAAAGATATCCCGCAATAAAGCCGCAAATTTTCGGAGACCAAGTGCGAAACGGAAGTGGGGGTCGACGGGGGATTCGGGATCTCGGGATCACAGGATCGCAGGGTGTTGCTTCCATGACCTTTTTGGGTTTGAATTCTGGGAAACAAGAGGTCGGGAGGGTGGGGAGGGTTGGAGTCCTTTGAAGCAAGGTGATCACATGTTAACATCAAGCGTTTTGCGGTTCCTGCAATCAAATGTCCCGACTCCAGTTTCTAAAGCGGCAAGAGTTAATGCGGTTCACCGCAATTACAACAAATAATAGATGTAGTGTGTAACAGTTTCAGTTATCACATGGATTCCCCCCAAAATGGGCCCCATTTGGGGATTTTGCCACGAATGTGTTCTATCTGTGGCTATTGCTTGGGTACCTTCTGAGGGTCCCTTCACTTTAAACAACCGCTTATCGAACCCATCTGCCAATCGACGAAATCCATAGCTATCAGCTGGGAAATCAGGCATTGTTGGCTGGGGTCGAGCTAGGGATGCTGACGAGGTGACCTCTCAAGGTGGCTCCCAGCCAGCCAGTTCCTTAGCTTTTTAGCTCGTTTTAGCTGTTCAGCGGTTGGTTTTCCGTATTATTTAGCCCACTAAAAGTTAGTCACTTTTAGCGGGGCATCCGAAAACGGACATCCTACCTCTGGGATACCTGAGGTCCAGGATACGCCTTTTCAACATCCCACCGGCCTGAAGGCCTGGTAAACTCTTCGGAAAAGGGGCCTACTTCACTTGATTTAATTTACAAACCTGACATGGGGTGTTCCTTTCCGGGGGGAAACCCCTGCTTGGTTGGTCTTCAAGGCAAAGCAAAAGAAAGACCGCCATTGTTGGGGCGATGTTTGGAAAACACTTTATGTCAGTTTGGTAACAGATCTTTGGACTTCCACTTTTTGCTTGACACTTTGCGGGATTTTCCGTATTGGACCCACAAACGTTGAACAAACTTGCTCGTACGAGGGGTTGCTTCCAGTTGCACCCAGGGCAAGGGTTGCCATGGCATGCAGGGAAATGGTCCCAAGAGGGAACTCATCTTCCAGATACCTTCCAGGTGCCATACGTGGGAGGAAGGGCATGTGTCAATTTTTGGGACAAACAAATCCCACGAAACGGGTCCCTGTTTTTCTACATGTCGGGTTCGTCCCTTGCCGCCAGGACGAGTGGTACACGCGAGTGTTCCGGAACTTTGCGGGCAAGGAGAAGGACAGGCTCCCTTCGGCCTCGGGCCAAGTCCACTAGACCATGGCAGTCACATAGAGTATCCCTTTGGGTATCCCTGAAAACCGATCCGAAAACAAGCAGACTGGGTAAAGCTTGTGTATACAGACGCCCAGTGGCGCCCCTTGCTGCTTTTTGGAGGGGCTTCCTTTGAAAAAACAGACCACCAACAAAAGCAGGGCCTTTTTTGTCCCATTGACACTGACTTCCAGTTGCTTAAGACTTTGTTATTTTCCCTTGTTGGTTTTAAAAGGAATCTATCACGGTTTTAATGGGAATCTATCTTTCTTTCTTTTTTTCCCGGGGGGCTTAAGCAAATGGAAGCTGGTCGTAAACATCCACGTTTCGGGCCATTCCAACCTCTGAGTTTGCTTCGGGGTGATGTTTTTAACGGGGCCGTAGCCCTGTGATCTCGAATGTAGAACGAGCTGAAGCCTAGCCCAGCTTGGCAGCCATTGCTGCAGGCGAGCTGGCTGTCTCCTAGGGAAGCGCTGCAAAAGTGATTGATGGACATGATTGACAGTGGATGATGGGCATGATCGACAGTGGACATGAATCCCCACACAAATAATGTCCGCCATTTTGGGTTATGCCCAGTTGGATGCACTAGTGGGACCCTACTTAACCTCCTTGCATCCAGGATATCCCCCAAAACACAGAGTCCCTTCATACCTCTGAAGGATGACTTTTAGAAGTGAAAAGGGGTCTAAGCCCCTTCTCAAAAGATACTTGGTAACATCCTGATAATACCAGCATCCTATAGTAAGACCAGGAGTGCGTTTGTTAGTCATCAGGATGGGCGTGCCGTGGGGCATTTCTACAGACTTCGCAAGATGCCCTAGTAGGAGTACACCCGTTGTCGTTATTTCCGGACAATACAAATCACTTGGCACCCAGTTGTTTCATTTTTCAAGGGGTGCCGTAATCCCAGGGTGAAGACCAAACTGTTGGTATCGCAGAAAGCGATGAATCGTACCTTCTGACTATGTGGTTTTGTTGGCAAGCATTGCACATTCTCACATTGAACCTCAATAGGATCTCTGCAGAAGATTCCAACTTCGGATTGATGAATTCGGCAGACCAGACAGATCCCATCAATCCCCGCAAATCGAATGCATCATAACTAAGAGGAGACCAACCCCGGATTGGTACAATGAACCAGATAATTGAAGTTTATATTCGAGATATTATTGCTTGAGTCAGTGATGACTTGAGTTCCTGTGGTGAGCAACTAATATTTCTCGGGTTTGGATCGGAACTGGGGATTTAAGTCGCTCCTTCCAACCCTTGATTGTTGGTTCTGGTAGATGCTGAATGGAGAATCTTCCCTAAACTCAAAGCCGCCCGGCCCCAAACCACGAGGGAAGCCGACTCGAGGTCCTTGAACAACATGTTCCGGAAGGGAACCTGCGTCACGGAGCTCCTCAAGTATTTTTTTTGGCCATTTAAAACATCACTTTTGCTACCAGATCCCCGACAAAGAACCCAAGAACACCCTTTCTGGGAAATGTTGCAGATTCCATGTCATGCCTCAGACCTTCACCATCCCAAATAAAGAGACGTTGCAGCCGTCCCGCTTCCTATCACAGGTTCCCCCAACACTTGTTTACGGTATATCTTACAGAACCGCGGTTCTCTATCGTAAATCATTTCTTGTTTTGGTCAGGGGTTGACATCATTCCTCCCGGCCATCCGGTTCCTTAGCTTAGCTTTTCAGTGTTTAGTGGAAGTTTGCCTGTTTACTCCACTGAAAGTTCCTCACTTGCGGGGGATCTGAAGACGGGCGGCCCAGTTTTGGACCGTAGCATTTTGGTTCAGCGCCCGAGTGCAGCCTAAGGGCCGGTTCGGCGAAGGACCTGATCGACTACCGCTGCTTCAGGGAAATCGTGAAGCAGTGGGATGAGCCCGGAGACACGGAAAGAAGGGATTTCGGAGTCGGGGATTTTTCGGAAATGGCCGGTGGAATGGCTGCTGGTTTCTGTTGGTTGGGTGGGTGAGTGGTTGCTTGGTTGGGTGGGTGGTTGGTTGCGTGGGTGGGTGGTTGGGTGGGTGGGTGGGTGGGTGGTCGGTTGGTCAGTTGGTTGGCTGGCCGGCTGGCTGGTTGGTTGGTACAATTTGGTCTGACAATCTTGCGAGCTCAGGTGAATCGAGCTTGTTAAGGTCCTTTACTTGGGATCTATTGAATCTATTGCAGGTTGCGAAGTTATGGCAAGCAACAAACATATGCTAGGAACTAGATCATGGGTGCTTATGGTCAGAAGACCCCTTTCAAGCCGGCTTGGTATAGGATGCCGCAATGGCGTCTGACGAAGAGAGCCGCGACAAGGACCCCTTTCGGATGGGCCAGGACTTGTCTGCGCCTAGACAGACCGACAGGAACCACGACGAGCTCACGATCCAAGACTGAGGGCACTTGGATTGTTTCTGGGTGCTCGTTTTGCAGAACCCCGAATAAAACATGCATTTTTGACATGCATGTTTTTTTCAAAACAAACATGCATTTTTCACACCATCAGAACATCCCTTCCTGTGGCTGACGCTACAGCCATAACTTCCTCTTGCAGTCCTCGTTTGCGCGTTCATCGAGCTGGACTTGCCTGAAGGCCAAGTGACCATTAGGCTCCGAACCCGCAACATGCAGCAGGGTGCATTCCACGCCTGAGGGAAAGCATCACCCAGGCATGGCCTTATGAAGATGGTACTGATCCAGAGATAGGCTTATGTCACAAATTAAACCACTAGGGGACCGCAGGTTTTAGTCCATGTTTCCATGTACCAGGGCTCCATTCTGGGTGCCTTTTTTTGACCCACAGCCATCTATATTCATGGTACTGGCCACCACGTCCAGCCTTGCAAAACTGCCTTGGAGTGCGAGTCGAACCGCCTAAAGTCCATGAGTCGAGCACTTTGGCGTGCAATAGATGAGTACGTCTGGGACCACCGGATGAATCATGGAAGATGCTTCACACCATCTTCCATACTTCCGCTGCAAGCGCATGATGCACCCGAACAGCGTGACTTGGACCGAGAGATGACCTTTCTAAATTCCTAGCTGGCTCTGGCAAGGCCGTCTTTGCCCTGAGCGATCTGACCATCTATGCTGCGCAGAATAGCATAGCATCTTCTGAGACTGAAACCGAAGCCAGAACTTGGCAGAACCTTGCTCTAAAGCTCCAAGCAGAAATTGGCATTCAACAACTCAGCGGCTGGGAGCCGCTATAGTGCCGGACCTTCTTCGGCATGCTGTGGATTCACTTTCTGGCCGATTCGGAGAGAAGTTTTGCTGTTCTCGGTTAGAAGTTGGGAGTGTCTTTCAGCATATCCCAGGATCGTGCCCTTTCTCACCATGTCATTTTTGGATTTTTGGTTCGGGACCCTACTAAAACAGACTACAGAGAAAAAATCGGGCACCCTTATTCTAACCTCTCAAATCTGGAGGACCTAGCTGGGCTGTTTGATCAATTATGTGTGTCGTTTCGATTGAATCATTGGCAAGCTGATGGGATGGAGCAGGTGTCTATCCAGGGTACCCTTCCGCCCACAAATGCGGAGCCTGGGCAGACAGCTTTTCTCCAACAAAGGACCCTTTGGTGCTTCCATGTTAACGTTCTGTTTTTTTCCCTCTTTCTTTCGTTTGGGGGGGGGGTTCCCTCTAAGTAGCATCAACCAACAAAAACAGCTTCGCCTTTTCTCCCCATGGAATCCCCTTGAGTGTGTTTCGTATGGTTTGCCGGCTGTTGTTTTTCCCAGCCCGCAATTTCAGGAGCCGGTGCCGGAGTTTCGGAGTTGGTTCAAAAGGAGCCTTCACAAACCCAAACATGTTTGAGGCGCTGACTTTGTTTGAGACACACCAGTAATGCAGAGTTGTTTTATTGCCTCAACTTGTCGCATGTCAGCCTTCTTTCCGAGTGCACCGAGGCACCATCAAAAGAAGAGAGAAAAACAGCAGCAGCAACAGCAGCAACAGCAGCAGCAGCTGCAGCAGCAGCAGTTGCAAGAGCAACAACAGCAATTGCAACAGCAGCAGCAGTTGCAACAGCTTCAGGAGCAGCAAATGCAGCAGCAGTTGCAGCAGCAGCAGTTGCAACAGCAGCAGTTGCAACAGCAACAGCTGCAGCAGCAGCAGCTGCAAGAGCAGCAGCTGCAACAACAGCAGTTGCAGCAACAACTGCAGCAGCAACAGCAGCAGCTGCCTCCGCAACAGCCGCTGTCTGCTCCTCCTGCACGAGAGCATCAGCGGTCTACATCAGGGCCAGGGTCGCTTCTTGATTGCAGCAGTTTTGGGTGGGATTGGCTCAACTTCTTGTTCCCAGTTGTCAGCGGTGCAGTTCTCTTTTTTGGAGAGGGCTTGCCCTAAAATCAACCAACCTCAACCAACCAAAACGCAGCTCCTTTGTCCATGGTCAATGCTGGGTGGCTCCCAGCCATCCCCTTAGCTTTTTAGCCTTTTAGTTTTGAGTGGTAGTTTCCATTTAACCCACTAAAAGTTAGTCAGTTTCAGCGGGGGATCTGAGGACAGCCTAGAATGGAGGTCTGTGTTTTATTCTCCCAAGCCTAGCATTTGGGAACCTCACGCACAACGGCCGGATCTGAGCCTAGAGTTATTTACTTGGGTGTCTGTTCGAGTGGTTTTTAAAGGCAAACTTCCATTTGGTTAAGAATATTTTTTATTATTTCCCCTGTTGGTTTCAAAGGGTATCTATCCCAACTGGACATATTTGTTTTTCCAGGGGACTTAAGCAAATGCAGCCAAAACCAAAAGGACGCCCACCAGTTTGGGGGGCGATTTTAAAAATACAAACCCACTTGGCTTTTCTTCCAACCAACCCATTGCGCCCATTGATATTGATGTTCGAGATGCTGGGAATAGAAAAGGCGACAAGGCCTTTGATTTTGGCACATTATCTGACCCAGTGACTTTCTTTGGGGGGCATGGCCATTCATTTTGTTTCCAACAAAGTGATCTCGAAAAGTGGATTGCTTGGTGAAGTATTATTCACCCGTTCCCCCAAAGTAAAGAGCCTTCGTGGGCGCGGTCACATCAAACACCTGCAGGTCAAAGTAGCTCCTGCACTTTGAGGGGTACTCGTAGGCTCCCCCGCTTGACGTGGAAGCCCAACAGGGTGCCGTGGTATCTTGCTGGCGCTCAGCAAGGACGGAAAGACCCCGAGAAAAAACCATCCCAGTGGTGGTTTCCTTTTTTCAGGAGCCCCCTGGGTTCATTCCCCCCACTGGTGGTTAAGGAGACCCTGCCCTGGGTTCCTTCCCACATTCCCTTCCGAGCACCAGTGCACCAGCATGTTATTCCGCCGGTGGGTTATGCCCATCTCACAAAACGCCGAACGACGCAAGAGGCACCGCTCCCGATCAAGGCCTGGTGTGATCCATTGGACCTGGTCCAGAGACCCGACCAACTCAAGCACAGAATGAGTTTAGCACAGGTTGGGTGTGGCTTTTTTGGGGAACGTATCCCTTCGTGGTTTTCAAGCAAAACCACCTTTGGAGCAGTGCGCCAAAGGATGACACGCCCAGTTGGAAATGATCCCCTTTGCAGCAAAGTTAGGCCATCCCCCCCCGCCCTCCCCTCCCCCACTGCAAAGAGGGATTCCTGGCACTCCAACCAAGGCCACCACGACACGCGTTCCGAATGCGCTTGGCCCATGTCTTACTGGACCAAAGGTGGTTGATGCCCTTTTGGTTGGGCTACACCCCTCGGACAGGTGGCGACCATCGTTTGCCCATTCGCCAAAATTGAGTTTCAGACTTTGGCCATAGCCAACCAAGCGCTTGTGTTTCACAAGGGACGTTGCAACAGACCTGGGGAGTCCCAGGTGAACAAGTGGGTACCAGTCTGATCTTAGCTGATGAATTGGGGCCATCGGCCCCCCCCCCGGGGCCCCGGGATGAGTGTTCCAGGTCTAGAATTCTAGGGTTAAAGATGATGTGCCAAAGACAACGAGCCCTTTTTGGTCCACACCGCGTGGGCCGCGTCAAAGCTGGCCCGTTTTGCTTTCAAGCAGAGGTTGCAGCCACCAGCGCCGTCGGCGGATTGCTCATCTGCCCCCAGCTCGGAGGGTTTCGAACCCGGTTTTCGGACCGTCAAAAGTGGACAACTTCAATCGAAACCACCAGTCAATTCAGCAACTGTCAGGGTGCAGGAAGTTTAAACTGCTTGGGGGTGTTTTTTTTGAGGGACCCCCCAACAAAAACACCCCCCAAAACAATAAGGTGGGTAACCTCTTGGTTTCCCTTTAAAGCCACAAACAGGGGTATATTCAAAGAAGACAGATCCATGTAACTGTTTCAACTCCGTCCGGCCAGCAACTCAGCGAGATAGTCTTATTAGGAAGTCAATCCTCATTGTTTGGGGGGTTGTTTGGGGGGAGTTGATGAGGTTCCTGATGGATTCTCCCAAACGCGAGGCTGCATATGGGACTTATGAGACATGTGAAACCCTAGTGCATTCGATGTACACAGCTCAATGGACACCGAACATGTGGCAGACAGGAAAGCACCACAAGATACAAGTTGCTGAACAAATAACCAAGCTCAAATAATTATATAGTCAAATGAACCCATAGCTAACACCACATTTTAACAATGACCCAGCACCCCGTTTGACCATTGTTTGGCGGGCTTTGACCAAAAAGCCCGTGGGTCGCGCGGCTTGTTGGGTGCTTCATGGAGCTTGTCGCGGGTTCAACGGGATCTCGATCGGTCGAGGCTTCTCCAAGGCATGGATCCTCGGTCCCACCATTTTGAGAAACACGTGTACACAGGATATACATATTATTCTGGGTGTGGCTTCGTTCAGGCAAATTTGTTGTTTGGTTGGATTGAAGGAACATCAAAAGGACAACTCTCTCTCTCTCTCTTTTTTTGGGGGGGTCCCCAAAAAAGACAAACACCCAAATGAAAATGTGTTAGTACATGAGTGTATGGGATCCATCCGCCTAACCAGGTGCCGCTGATGTGGTGACGGGTGAAGTCAGCAGATATGGTTTTCAGCAGCATGAAGGAGGTGCTAAAAGTCATAGCCTCAGATGGAACCCAGAAGCTAGAAGGCTTTGGAAGATGGGTAAAATGTGGCAGGTGAAGTTACCAAGTTTGGTTTGCGAAGGAGTTGCAAAAGGTCAGCCAGAAGCTAGAAGGTTTTGCCAGAATGGTCAAGCGCCCCAGTAAATATCTTCGTGGGCCTTCACCTGGTGCTTTGGAGTGGCTGGCGTTCTGCGATTTTGCGAGGCGCAGAGTACGACCAGATCAGTTTCTTCCGACCACGCGGCGCGCAACTTTTGGGCGGGGATGAAGCCGATGGGAAGTTCTTGTTTTTTTTGGGGGGGGACGAGCTGCCCAAAGCGAATCGACCTGTTGACAATCTGGTTTTCTCTTGGCCCAGTCTCGCTTGGTATTCCTTGATGGCTCTTTCGGGCTTACCTTAAAAGGCCTTTGAAAATCGAGCCGCTTCTGGATTTTTACACATGGGCGTGTCGAATTTTGGGAGTGGGACCCCCAAATGGCGCAAGAGTTTCCTTTTGGGGGCCCCTTCAAAAAAACAGGGGGGTAGCCTCAAAAAGCGACGAGCCACCCACATGACCCCGAGTCCGAGTTTGAAGGCATTTCCCTCATATCGCCAGGCCACCTCCTCTCCAGCGCCCCACTCGGAGGTGCCTAAGGCAGGGTTTGGTGTGCGGAATTTCACCATTGCAGAGGCGGGGTGTGACTTTTTGAGGGAAACCTTTTTGGGCTGGTTTAAGGGACACCAGAAGGAAGCCAACCAGTTTAGGGGGGTCGGCAATTTTGAGGTCTGCAATGATTGTGGCGACAGAGGTAAAACGACTCATGATAGCAGTTGTTTGCTTGGGGATCCGCTTGCTACCTGAATGGCTCGCCTGGCACACGGGGCTTGATGATCAATTTTCCTAAAATGACCATGGCTAGCTTTTCCTGTGTGGGAAATAAGTGGTCGTCCCACAGGCATTTTTTGATCAACCCCCGCATGGGAACCTAGGTCAACCTGTGCCTTTGCGGCACTGGGTTCCTGATGTCTGCCCATAACTCCTAACCTCCCAAGCGATGTATGGAGGGGCGTACCTACCCCCAGAAAGGACCTTTCCCCCTATATGTTGCTTGGATACAAGGGAAATCATGTGTGGATGGTCCCGCACTTCTGGCCTAGCTGGGGATCCTGTCAAGACTCGACATGTTCCATCCATACTCGGGAATCATTTGTTCTCCTTTTCTTGGGGGCGGATTATCTTGTAAAATGATGGTGGAAGATATGAAACATTTCACCTTTAAACGATTGTTGCTACCCTCTCCAAGATGGTGTAATACCCCCTGACTGATTCTGGGTCATGGCGATTTCAGATGTTATGGAGATTTCAGATGTTATGAAGGGTCGAACATATGTGATGGGATCCGATCCCGGATCGGCCCGTTCCAGATCCATTCCGCGCTCAGGAGAGTGATCGAGAGCCAGAAGGCGTGGAAATTTCGCCCGGCGCGGGAGTGGCTTCCCTCAGTTGGACTCGTCCATGGTAGAGCTGTGTCTCTCGCAGTCCGTCTGGAGCTTTGGGTCTTGTGTTGCGGTAGAAACACCGTGAGACCAGAGTTTGATTGAAGGAGGTGCTAACCTGGGATCGTGAAAACCAAGAGGTCAACAACTCTACCGCTATTGGGTTGGATCTTTAGACTTGATATAACTTGTTGGATTCCTCTCATATTTCCTTTTAAGCAGCAAAAGGTTAAACACTTTTTGCTGGGGGATCTAGAGCACCCAAGAAAAGCCCGATTCGCCTTGGACGGCTGAGAGAAGCATAATTCTCCAACCGGGAACCAGGATTCCTCAAGAGATCTGCACCAGCGAACTCGTCTAACACCCAGATCGGTGAGCTCGAATTTCTCCAGCCAATCCTTTCGACGCTCAGTTTTCAACCCGCTTCCTGGGTGGTTTGTTTCCCTCACTTCCTGAGTTCATGAACTTTAAACTTTTTGGGAAGACTATTTTGGTGGTAAATATAAAGTTTGGACTTTTTTTGGGCCATCCACTCAGCAAGTGAGTTCCTAGTGCTGACCCCAGATTCATAAACCTCTATTGATTAGTATGGGGGTGTCCCTGGCTTAAGTTGGGATTTATCACTGGAGGGGAACACTGCCATATTAACCAGGGGCTTATTAGTCCGAGGTCAACATTGAACTGGTCTTTTGCTTATCACAAGTCCAACCTTTTATGTCCATGTCCTTTGGGCAGGCGAGTTATACCAATGAGAACCCAGGATGGATTGACCAATACGAGGGCGTGCCCCGATTTCAGAGAGGATTTCAGTTCGGCCGGGTCGCAAGACATCCCGGCGGGTTGGTGAAGAAAGGTCGACATGTTCATTTCAGCGCCTTGTGACTTAGAAGGTTTCTAGCCCAAGTGCAATCGAGTGGGATTGAAATAATACATGACTTTGAGTACTTGCGACATTTCAAGGGTCAAGTTTCTATTTGAGGAGGTACAATTTTGGCCTTTCTTTGCGGTATGGTTCGATGGCTTTTTTTGATCCAATCGGTTTGAAAGGAAGCCAACAGCCACCTTTGGTGGCCACCCATTGCAAGAACACTCATCGTACCTCTGGCTCGCCTCGAAAAGTCAAATACTCGGGATCGGGGTGGGATCAAGGGGTTTATCCCCGCTTGTGATACAAGGCAATCCTTTCTTTATATGGGGGGGTAGTCTGTGGGAGGCCCTTCTTGTTGTATCATTGTATCACAGAAGTGGTCACTTCCCACAGCACTGCTCGGGATTTGGCTCGCGCTCTTTATATGGGTCGCGCCCTTTGCGGGGGCTAGGGTCTAAACAGGACGAATAATTCTTTGGAGAGACATCCGCAAGATTTTCTTGTTTGGGTTGGGAGGTTTCTGGGTTCCCTTTGTAGGGATATCTGGGTGGTTTTGTGGTTTTTCTCTTGGCTTGGGAAGTGGTCACAGGTAATTCAGTTGTTGGTTGCGGAAGACACACAAATGGGAAATTGTAAAAACGTGGTTTCGCCAATTCACTGGACAGCCCTTCATTTTGACGAGCCCAGCAAGACCAACTGAACTCTTTCAATAGGTTTTTTTTACGGGGTATATGCTGCGTGATGAACTTATTTTGATGTATAGTATATAAGCATCCATACCTCCAAAAGTCATGCTTGCAGATTCGTCGGCAGGGCGGCGGCCAGAAACGGCCCGGGCGCCAAAGATATTCGACTTTATGAAGGTAGTCCACTGATTACGGGTTTGCCGTGTGTTTTGAGGTACTCGAGACCCTATCCACTCAGGAAGTGTGGGTCACCTTCCAAAGGGTTTCCCTTTAGTTTCCCTTCAAAACAACCCACAAAGCAGGTACCCCAAACAGCGCCAACCCCATTTGGAGCCGTAGCAAGGGCAGTCATGGGAGTTATTTGGCCCTCGGTCCTCAGTGGTTTCTATTGGTCAATACCAGTAACACGGTTGCAATGACTCCCCCTATGCTTCTGAATCTGGATTTGAATCACATCGGTGGGGCTTTCCAGTTCCCAATTCATGGCTTGGCAGTTCCCGGCCACCCTAGGCTTTTAGCTCTTTAGTTGGTTTGGTGGGTGTTTCCATTTCACACACTAAAAGTTAGTCACTTTTAGCAGGGGATCAGAACACGCTCAGCCCAGATGGGAGGTTGGTTGGCTCAGACGATCAAGTTGAGTGATTCCTGGTACGCCTGGTTCTGACCCCTGAATTCCATTTAGGGTTCCATTTTCCCTTGTGTGGGGAAGACTGACTAAATGGAATTGTGGGACCCCCCACCCCCCTCCCCCTTAAGGTAGGGGGGATGTGCTGTTCTGGTGCTGGTTGTTCGAGCCCCCGCGCCAAGCTGTGGACATGCCCGTCTTCCAAGTTTCTTGCGCTTCGTTCTGCTCAGTGACGTCGGACATGAACTTAGCCAGACGGGGCCGAGCCAGGAAGCTATGAGCTAGGGGTATCCAAGTTGTTTGCCTTCAAAGAGGGAGCATTTCGGAGTTACCAGGAGTTCTGGTTAGGGACATGGAAATTAGGACACATTTGTTTACCAGGCCGGTGCCTTGTTGGAATCAACAGCGCAAGTCTCCAGTGTTCTTGGAGGGGGATTGCCTTTTTTTCCATGGGTGGGGTGGGGTGGGGTGGGGTGGGGTGGGGTGGGGTGGAGTGGGGTGGGGTGGGGTGGGGTGTTCCCCTTTTCCCAAGCTGAAACCTAGAGCTGTCAGGAAAGGGTTCCGAAGGCCAAGGGCAAATGGAGGCTTCCGGCATGAAGCCTCATCCGGCCTATTGGCAGGATGTTTCCATCCGAGCCATTTTGTCTTCAAAGGGAACCTACCGTTCGATTCTTCAATGGAAGCCACCAATGAAGTGCAAGTCATGACAAGGGGGAATCCAGTGAATGTGTCCGCAAATCTTTGTAAGGTCATTGATTTCCGGGGAATTTCATATGGGGTTCCGCAAATCTTTGTAAGGCCAGCGCCTTGGACGAGTTTTAACATGTTTCAGCTGGGAAACGCAGGTTGCTCATGGAAGCCTCCGGAGGTGTGGGAAACCGGGCGAAGCTTTCGACTCAGGCGCCGCCTGCAAGCGTGCCCTCAGCCGGTTGGAACCTCAGACTGGCTGAGGGTCAACCTCTTCATAACTCTTTTTGTTTTCTTTTTTTTAACCAAGCGCCTTTTTTTGCGACTTTGTTTTAGGAAGGGTTCTCCTTTAAACTCGACCAAACAGGATGCCCTCTTTTTTCCCACCGCTAGGCATCTGAGAGAATCGTCATGCGCGTCATAGGGGTTTTCTTCATGGCCATTTGGGAACGGATCCTTAGACTTTGACATGTTGGCTGAAACAGCGGAGTTTCCGTTGGGCCCACAAAATATATTTTTTGGCAGAGGCGTCAACAGCAACCAAGTTTAGACAACTCTTGTAAAGAAGATTCCTGCAAAGGGAAGCATCACCAGGACCCACAAAGAAGTGAACACGACATATGTTTCTGCATGCAAATAATCCCAGCGACCTGAAGGGAGTTTCCAACATGACCCGCTGTGAAAAAGGTTAAGCTTCGTTTTTGGGTGAGTCCCGTATTTTAGCCCTGTGAACAATCTGCAGTTCACCCGGAAAAAAAGGCGGAGTGCGGCACCATTTCAGGGTTTACCTATGGCCTTGTTTTTTTTCTTTTTGGCGTACTTATGTCTGTGAGCGGGCAATACTACCTGGGTATCGGTTTTGGTTGGGCAGTTTTTGGTGGAAAATAGGGGATCAGAAAGCGGACAGCCCAGGTATGTGTTTCTTGGGTGCGTCTGCGCATACGAGCGGTCAATGTTGGCACACCTTTCCTACTGAGTCATGCACATTTTTTTTTGACAATGATGCTCTTCGTTTAAGTCGAGGCGCGAAAAGTTCAAATGTCCGCCAGTCAACTCAGCTGCTCAGGTGAAAGTTTCAGAAAGGTTGCTTAGATGGCAAAACAGTCTGTGGGTGAATTTGTTCTGTTTGGGAAGATGCTAGTTGTGTGTGAGCCGCGAAACCTGAACATCATCTACCTGAGCAGTTTTTTTTGGAGGGGGGGCTGTTGTCCGAAAGATAGCCCCTGTTTGGACCCTGCTGCCGCATTGCGCGTTTTGTTCTTTTTCAACTTCCCCCCGTGTCTGAACAAATTTGTTTCACTTGTCCTGAGGCTAGGCAGGGCAGTCCACATGACAATCGGGCGATTGTCAAAAAATGCCCCCCCCCAACCCCCCCCCCCCCCCCCCCCCGTGTGGTATCCCTTTGAAAAGGCGGCACATGTCATGGTTGTTGTTGGGAAACATTTTATATTTTTGCTCATTGTGGTTTAGTGGGAATCCCCACTTAACTGCTAAAATTGAATTTTTTGCTGCCCTGCCAACGCAAAGCAAGATGTAAGGATGACTAGATATTGCACACAGATGAGAGCAGCGAGCAGAAGAGCGGAGCATCGGAACTGAACAGCAGCGATACCGATTGAGATGGCACTTCATATGCAACAGCAACAGCTTCAGTAAGCCAAGCAGTTGGGGCCTGTACGTAGACCTTAGTAGCAGCTAGATTGTTGTATGTGCTTCTGAGGCATTTCAATTGGATCCAATTGCACATCCAGGCCTCACATGATTACCGCATGTTACCACTAGCGGAATTCAACAATGACGAGCATAGGATTGTCTAGTGCCCCTGAATATCAGTGCAACTCGCTCAAGTCCGGCAGCATTGCAAGTTGTCAACTCTCAAAGAAGTTGAGTTCCACGGTGACAATGCTCCTCACTTAGATCACCAAGAGAGAACACACGCACAACACACGGCAGTACTGTATGGACCCTGAACAGGCCCTTCGCCATACCGAGGGGAAGCTATTTGGTAACGGATCTTTGGACTTTAACTTTTGGTTGAAACAGCTAGGACCTAGGATTTGTCTTGTTTGTCCCACACAAAGTTGAAATCTGTTTGCAGAGGGGTCGTTACAGCAACCAAGTTACTATAGGGGTAACCCGGATCCACTGAAAGGGACATTGCCCCCCTTCCACCGTTCTGGGGTGTCACTTGTCAAGCCCATGATACCCCAATGCGCCATGAAAAGACTTGCTTGCTCACTGATGAACTTGGCACTTTTTCTTGCGGACGCCCATTTCAGCAAACAAACAGCTTGGTTTTGGCCACACTCAGAAAGTGAGCGGCTTTTTAGGATGGTCAATCCAGGTAGAAGCATCGCCGCATCGCCTTCGGATGAGTCGGAGGCAAGGAAACGTGTCGCAGGACATGCAGCTATTATGGTATTTGAGTTGTTTTCTTGTTTCAAAAGAAAAGGGGGAGCGCGTTCTGATATGGCTGTGGCTCAAACAATTGAAATACCCAAAATGGTACCTTGGTATTAAATGGCAACAAAGACCAACACCTGCTGAAGCCTAGGTCTTGCATTTGTGAGCCACACCCATGTGCAGCTTCTTTTCTGTTCTTGGTGATTTTATGTTGTGAGTTTGTTCCGTTCATTTGGGGTGTGGGACCTAGGGCCCTTTGGCCAACGGCAGGAAGGTGTCGACCTCTGAAGAACGCCTGGTAGGTGCCAATTATGTTGAAGGATCTGAATCGAACCCGTCCTATCAATACATGGGTGTTCAACCCCTCCAAAACATCATGGGACTCCCACGTGTCAAGCCCCCCTGTCAACATCAAGCCGGGGGTTGACTTCATCCGGGGTGAACATTAGTTGGCGTGGTTGAAGTTGCAGCCCTGGTCCTTTTGAAGCAACGGGGGTCCAAACCCAAGACCGGATTGGAGTGCGAAACAAGGAAACCAGCGCAGCTTTTGGCAGGTGGCTCCATCCAGCCAGTTTTGGTGGTTCACAGACTCCTCTTTCCCATATCGTTTTCTCCCACTCAAGCAAGAAGCATCGGCCCCAAAAGGGCTCCCGTTTTTTGATTTTCGAGGGTCAATCTGGAGAACCAATCCTGTTTAGTTGGCGGTTCCCAGCTGTCCCCCTAGGTTTTTAGTTTTCTGGGCTTAGTGAGGGTATGTGTAAAATCAGCCCTGAACACGACTATCGAAGAGTATCTAATTGGTCCTAGGATTTTGTCTAGCCAGTGGTTGGAAGGGAGCCAAGGAGCCAAGGAGCTAGGGGTGTTCCAAATTTGCATTTAAAGAGGGAGCTACGCTACCGCTTGTGGATTTGAAACCCTTCTTTTGTTGCCGCATGGGAAACCAAACATCCAAACCAATCCTAATCAATCCAAAACAAACCTAATCACAAATAAAGAGGCAAGAAGGTTATAGGCTCCCCTAAAGGACACAATCTTGGGCCAGTTCAAAAAGCACCTATTTCCCAGTGTGGGGCGGATCCCCTTGTAAAGCAGGCGGTCTTTGAACGTATGCTTTGACATGGCTGGTCTTTGACCAAATCGCCCGAACGAGGATTTTTTTTGGTCAACGGTTTTTCCATGAAACCTAAAGGTGAGACGGACCTTCTGCTCGCTGAGCGCAAAAAGCAACCCAAGGAGCCCTTTTGATCAATTACTTTGGATAGAAATCTCAGTTGTTCAGTGGCACCCTTTTCCCTTTTTTTTTGGTGGCTGCCCCACTAAAAATGGTCTTCCCCAAAAAGGGTTCCCTTTTTTCCAGGGTCACTGAACAACTGAGAAATAGACGGGCAAGCCACTGGTTTAGATTGGTTTTATGCCGCATTTGCCAGTGACACCCATCTAGTTGTCCGAAACGCCAAATGTTGACTCAGCGAAACCGCTTATTCTTTTCAATGTTTCAGTGGTAGCTTTGCCCTTGAAGCCAACAACAGGTGCCTGTGGTTCAAAGGTTTGACTTACAGGAACATCTACAGGAAATGTGCCCCAAACACCCTTAAAAAACTGTATTCCTTCAGAATTTAGATTTTCCCGTAACTCAGCCCTTTGAGGTGTTCCAGAAAAACGCATTCATTTGCCGGCGAAACCCATTGACCTGTCCAAAAGCACACCTGGGCACCTGTGCTGCCTCTTTTCGGGTTCGACCTTCGAACCCTCCCCTCCCCCACCCACCCACCCCTCCCCCCCCTCCCAACCTCTCCTCCCCCCGCCCACCTCCCCTTCGGTTTTGCCCCCCCTTCCGCGAGACCCGGGGGGAGGTGAAACACGCTAAAGCTGTTTCCTCCCTGCAGCTTTGAGGTGTTCCCTGTTTCGGATTGGAACCCCCCCAAACCCCTCCCCCCCCCCCCCCCCACCCACCCCCACACCCCCCCCCCCCCCCCCCCCCCCCCCCCCCCCCCCCCCCCCCCCCCCCCCCCCCCCCCCCCCCCCCCCCCCCCCCCCCCCCCCCCCCCCCCCCCCTCCACCCCCCCCTCCCCCCCCCCCCCCCCCCCCCCCCCCCCCCCCACTCGCCCCCCCACCACCCCCCCCCCCTCCCCCCCCCCATCCCCCCCCCCCCACCCCACCACCCCCCCCCCCACCCCCCCCCCCCCCCCCCCCCCCCCCATCCCCTCCCCCCCACCACCCCCCCCCCCCCCCCACGCCCACCCCCCCCACGCCCCCCCCCCTCCCCCCCTCCCCGCCCCCCCCCCCCCCACCCCCCACCCCCCCCCCCCCCCCCCACCCCCCCAAACCCCACCCCCCCCCCCCCCCACCCACCTCCTGCCCCCCCCCGCCCCCTCCCAACCTCCCCCAAAACCCCCCGGGAGGTGCAGCCCTTGGATCTTCTGCGGGGCGCCAGCGGCCTCTCCCGCGCCACCGCGGCGAACATCGCCTCGGAGGCGCGCTGGCTCGCCGAGCGAGCCGCGCTTCACGTGGCGAGCGGGGAGCGAGGTTGCGGGGGGGAGGGAGGCCAGGTCTTTCAGTAGTACCCTTCTCTCCCAACTTTTTTTGGTTGGGAGACTTCGCCTACTACAATAGACTACCGAAAAAAGTTGGCACCCTTATTCTAACCTCTCTGGAGGACCTAGGAGGAGCTGCTCGAAAAGTCCGGACGATCCAGTCCTCATCACCGCTCAGTCGACTTAAGCGGTGAAAACCAAAAAAACCAATCAGCACTTACCACCCGCCTGAGCGGTGGCCTCAGCACATCAAAAGATGCAATACCCAAAAATGATTGATCATGGAAAGACTCAATCTGACGTACAGCTGCGAGATTTTGAGCCACACCCACATGTTGCGAGGGCGGGGCTCTTATTTTTGGAGGGACCCTTTTTTGGGCTGGTCTTTCTGGAAACCAGAAGGAAGCCCAACAAAGTTTGGGGTCTGCTATTCTGAGACAAGCCCATGCCGTTTCCTATTTTATGACGCGAGCTCACAGATCCGGGGATACAACCAGTGAAAGCCATGACAAAGGTCCTTTACTTGGGGATCCGATTCTTGTTTGCGTTTTTGGAATTATAGTAAGATTTGCAGATTCATATCCACACTGCACTCCAGGTTTCCACTTTTTACTACCAAGATAGACTTAAACCCAGGAATCGGTGCGCTTTTTTGGGGGAATGCACGAGGGCTGGATGTAAGTCTATACCCTGAAGTGGTCAAAAAGTGGAACCCTGCACTGGACATCCATCCAACTCACTTCTTGAGTTCATGAACTTTACTCACTTTTTGGAAAGACAACAAGTTCAAGCTGTGGTTGGCCAATCCACTCAGGAAGTGAGCCTTAGGGTTTTTAGGCTTGTACTTGGTTTGCTGGGCGGTTCCATTTAACAGGGTCTTAGGGTGGTTCCATGCACACACTAATTAAAACTTAGACACTTTTGAGCAAGGGATCAGTTTGGACAGTGCTGGTTTTAAAGTGAACTTGTTCAGTTCTCAAAACATCCTTGGGGATTGTTTCCCTTTCCACTTATCTTGCTGGAGCTCTGTAGGGAATGTGGGAATGAACCCAGGGATCCCCTTAAAGGAAACCCCTAGTCTAGTGGGATGGTTTACAGCGTCATTCCATTTCTCAATCGCACCAGCAAGTCATTACCACATATTTAGCGGCCTGGACCCTCAAACTACCCAACAAATGGATTTCAGCCCACATTTGGCAATTTACCCATTTTTAGAGGTATTCTAAGGGTCCAGGGGGTCATTTGGAGGATGTAAACTGCCAACCAACAAAGATGTCACTCCATACTTGTTGGGGCATTTACCGCATTTTAGAGGGTCCAGGGGGTCATTCGTTCGGATGCTTCCATTTGGTTACGAATATTATTTAGTTTCCCCTGTTGGTTTTAAAGGGAATCTGTCACTACTGGAATATTTTTCAATTTTTATTTTTCCAGGGGACTTGAGCCTGACATCGCACGCTTTTTGTCCTGTGGCGAGGTGATGTTCCCGACCCATGTGGGCCGCCTGGCAATCTTCGACGACTACCTCTTTTGCGGGGACGTGGGCTCGGGCTCTTTTGGCAAGGCCCGGGTGGGGACGATCCCCACCGGAATGGTTGATTGGGGGAGTCAGGGAATTCGACCCTTGACCTCCATTTTTATGGTAACCCATGTTTTTGTTTGTTTTTTTGGTTCTGGGGAATACTAGATTAATGGAATAAGGTCCCAGACCCCCTCCCCCACAAGCTAGGCTAGGGCCAGCTAGGGGGGATGTTCTCTGCGTCAATCCCGCGGGGACTTTTCGGCCACGAGGGTCTATGTCGGCAGCTTCGATGGACGGCCTTCTACATGCTTCCGCTTGCTTAAGAATATGTGTTTATTTTTCCCCTGTTGGTTTTTCAAGATAATGTATCACTACCGGAAATATTGGCTAATTTTTCAGGGGACGATGACTCGAAGCACTGAACGACATGTGACCTTGGAGGGGAAATATCCCTCGGTTGAAGTTTGCACAGTCAAAAGATCTAGGCACGCGAGTGATAACATTGTTGTTGGCATCAAACTGGGACAAAAAGCGGAAAACGGCACCCCAACAGTTAAGAGTGTTTATCAGCGAAATGGTCCAGAGTTCCCTTTACGTGGCTAGGCAAACCGGCCGGGCGGGGCTGGACTGGACTCGTCACTCGCCTTGCGCCAGGTGATGCTTGTCCGGCACAAGCCGAGACCTGAGAAGCTTTGGATTGCCCTGGGGTGCAACTTGCGCCCATGAAAAGAGTGGCCCAAGGGGACCCAATTTGGATGATGAGAATCCTTCGGTAGACAATGGTGGTTATATGTTGAATGTTTTCAAAAGGCTTCGTAGGTTTGACCATTTCCGAGGGGGTCAAAATCCACGGCGATTGTTTCGACGATTGTTTCGACGATTCTTTTACCAAAACAATTGTCGCAACAATTGTTTGAGAATACACGGGCACGCAAAACAATTGCTGCAACAAATGTTTGACAAAACGCGGGCGCGCGAAACAATTGTTGCAACAAATGTTTGACAAAACACGGTAAGCAAAACAGTTGTCGCAGCAATTGTTTGACAAACACGGATGTGCAAAACAATTGTCGCAACAGTTGTTTGACAAAACACGGGTGTGCAAAACAATTGCTGCAACAATTGTCTGAAACACGGGCATGCAAAACAGTTGTTGCGGCAATTGTTTGACAATTGCTTTATTATACGACGCGGACATGCAACACAATTGTAAGCAATCCTTGCGCTAGTGCGCTGCAAGAAAAAAGCATCGACGCTGGGGCTGAGGTTGGGGGTGGCTGAGCTACGCCGCTTTGTCAGCTCGCGCCGCAGCTGCTGTTTTGGACTCCAAAGGCACTTGTTGGCTGCCAAGGCTCTGTGGCCTGGCTAGGCTAACTGAGGCTAACTGCATCTCTGTCCCGGGGTCGGGTGGCGTAGATGTTGCCGACTAGGTCAGAGACCGGCTCACGGCATAGGCCTGCCTCCTTGCACAACGCGGAGGGCTGCCAAGGTGGCATGGACATCCGCCTGCGTGACTGGGGCGCTGGGCTCGCGAAGGACGAAGGCTGCAAGCGCTGCCTGCCAAATGGCCAGCAGCACTGGTAGGGACATCGCGTTGCCAGCGAGGTCCGTCATGAGGCTTTCTGTGAGCCACTTGCGCTGCGATTGGCCATGCGAAGCGTCGATCTCGTGGCGCAACTCGGCTAAAAGCCTGCGGGCTGGAAAACCTTGCATGATAAGCGCCTCCTGGCCCAAAAGCACCCGAGCAGGCCTGGTAAGCTCCACAAACAAAAGCTGCCCGGGCAACATCGTTGGGGCCACGTGCTTGCCGGAATCTGGGCTCCAGCTTTGCGAGTGGACTCGGCCAACTGACTGGCTGAGATTCCGAAACCCCGCCGAAGGCGCCTGATGCCTGCTCAGCAGCAATGAGTCTTTTTCTCGGTCTGTGAGGGTGTCAAACCAGTCGTTGCAGGCAAGGTCCGCAGGAACAGGCTGGCCCCACCGCACGCCAGCGCTCTCTGAGTAGCGCATGTGCTGCTCAATCCACGCGCTCCCTGCACTGTTGCTCTGAGAGCGGCCCGCGCTCTTCAGGGCCTTGTCTTGCCGCGCAATGAGGAACTGCTTGACATCCTCATCGTCCCGGGGCAAGAGAACCTTGCTTGCACACGGGGCTGAGCGCACGCACGACGCGACGCAGGAGCGAAGCGAGTCAAAACAAGCCTCCAGCGGCCGGCTGCTGAAACTAAAGACGCAGTTCGTGACCTTGACAAACACGACGTAGAGTCGGCGGCGCCTCGCGGGCAAGCCAAACTGGTTGGAGTCCACAAGAAGCTTCTGGCCAGAATACCCTGTGTTCGCCATGGTCTCCATGAGGTGCTGGAGGTTGTTCTGCTGGGACTGCGGGATGGCGTCGTCGATTGAGTCCACGTTCTCGTAGACGATCATGCTGGGGCCGTGCTGCCTCACATATGCCACGAACCCTTGAAACGTTTGGGCCGAGCCCCCTCGGCTGCTGACTTGGTCTAAGACCAACTTGGTGTTGTCTTTCGAGGGGTTTGCCCTGCTTAAGTCCTTGCAAGACGTTCCAACAACAAAGATGTCCACCCGGGGAATGGGGCAGTCTTTGTCATGCACCACGCAGTGCCCGGCTGCCTCACCAAGCTGCCCGATGTCTGCGAAGATGCAAGCATCACCGGCCCGGGTCGGAGTCCAGGTCAGCGCCTGGCAGCCCCATTGTGGTGGCATCGGAGCGGGACGTCTCCCCGTCAGAGCAACCCGCATCTGGCTCAAAGTCATCAAGCCCTGCCCAGCTTGCCTTGCCGGCTGACAAGACTGCAGAGATCCATCGCTGCTTGTCTTTATTTGCCTCGCATGAGAAGACATGCTGCAGCGATGTCTTGGCGCGCGCCACGGCCAAGGGCAGCGTTGATGGCCATCGCAACGTAAAAGGCGCCCTCAGTACCTGAGCACGCAGATGCCCAGGTCAAAGTTACCTTGTCCGGCCTCGGCGCGCTCTCTTGCTGCAAGACTTGGGCAAAGCCCGCAAGGTTCTCCCGAGCCAGCTGTGGCAACAAAGTGCCATCTACCAGGCCTTCTGCATCCAACACCCGGCTGAAAGCCGCAGCCTGCTGGTCTATGTTCAACGACTCGGACTTCTGCTGCTTCAAGGTGCGGGCCCGTTTGGGTGCCTGAGCTTCAGGCAGCTCAGCCATGAAAGCTACCGGCCCGCCCTACTAGACCGACAAAGCCTGAAGACTAAGACTACAGAGAACGCGCGAGCCACACCTGAAGCAAAGCAGCGGAACAAAGTGCGTGGGTTACAAACTTGCGCAGAAGCCAACAAACCAACCGTAAGGAGACGCCCTCTCACCCTTAGCGGTTTCACCGTCAAACAAAACCCTGGGCTGCCCCAAGCCCTAGAAAGCCCGAAGCCTTGCGCACCTTGGGCGTATGCGTTGTTGGGACCCCAAAACTGCCACTACCCTGCGTTGAGACCCAAGCCTAGCTAGCCAAGCACGCAGCGGCCGACTACCGTTTTGCACTGCCTGCGCACTCTTTCAGGAACTCTAGGGCTACGCTACTGGGCGCGTCAGAAGTAGAACAGGGCGTGACCACGGCTTAGCCGGCTTTCCTCTTCCTGGCGGCACCTGCCTTGGCCGTGGCCTTTGCCTTGGCCTTGGCCTCTGCCTTGGACTTGGGGCCGGCGGTGGCTGCTGCCACAGGCGCCTTGTCAGCGGCTGTCTCCTCCGGGTCTCCTTTGCGTTCCTTGGCTTGTTTCTTCTTGTCTGTCTTGCCCTCCTCCTTGTCCTTCTTTTTTTCTTGTCTTTGTCGACCGCGTCCTTCTTCTCCTTGTCTGCGTCCTTCTTGCGCTTCTTGTCCTTCTTTTCCTTCTTCTCCTTTTTATTCTTCTGCTCCGCTTTTTCGTCGCCACTGTTCTTGCACTCCTCTGCCGCTGCCTTTTCTGAAGCTGCCGCTGCGACCGCTCCCTCCGGCGCTGGCAGGCCGCTGCATGCGCCGCCAGGCTTTTGCTTGCTGCCTGGTTCCTTCTCAAAGCCGGCTGCGACGTCAGTCTTGGCCTTCTTCTTTGCCGGGCCTTTGGTGCCTTGGTCCTGGGTGTGCAGCTGCTACTTCTGCGGCAGCGCTCTTAGCAAACTCCAGCAACGGGGCGGTAGTGTCTCGCGTGTGTTGGTTGAAGCCTTCCTTTTCAGCCTCGAAAGCAAGAAGGCGGGCCTCCAAAGACTCGGCCACAGGCCTCAGCTCCTTGAGCAATGCCTTGCCGTCGTCAGAAGTGGTGCCAAGGATCGGGTTGCGCAGCAGACACAGGCCTGCAATCAGGGTGACGTGGAAACCTGCAATTCTTGCTGTAAGGCTGCAGTTGTCCGAAAATTCCACGGGCAAGCCTTCCAGCTCCAGAACGTTCACAGGCCCTTGCGCCGCTTGCTTGCCAAACACAACAGGGTCCAAGACCTTCAAGATATCCTGCGGCACGCGCAACTGCGACAGCTCGGCCTCCATGGCGGTCGACTGTTTTGCCAGTTCCGCTACGTGCTTCACACCGTGGGCTCTGTAGGCTGCTTCCTCAGTGAGGCTTGGTGTTGGCAGGCTGCCCAGCAACTTGTCCAAGTTGCATTTTGCGATCTTCAAGGTTTTGGCGGCACTCTGCGCCTTTTTGGTGAGGAGCTCCCTGTGCAAAGTTAGCCGCTGCTGGAAATGCTGAATTGCCTCTTCCGAAGCAATTCTCGTCTTCTCCAAGTCCTGCTTGAAGGCGGGGTCGGCGGCGCTGTCCTCCGCTTCCTTGACAGCAACGCAAAGCTTCTCAGACAAGCAGCAGAGTTTCTTGGCGAAGCCTCTCAACTCGTCGTTGGTCTTCTGGCCAGCCCCGTGCGGGCCATGCTTTGCCACCTGCGCAAGAAGAGTCAGCAAACAAACGCGACAAAGCCCCTACAGCCAATGAAACTTGACCGTTGCCGCAAACAAGAGAGTCACACCCGCCCGGAAGGCACCAACTGTTTTTTCACGACGAAGTGAACAATGTGCAATAAAGCTCTAACGGTCAAAGGCATGGACCGAACGGCTGTCCCCCGCCTCCAAAAACGCCGTCACCAAGTCGCGCAGTTTGTGGGTCTTTGGGACCCGGCTGAGGAGCTCTGCCGCCATGTTGCTGGACAGCCCAGCGCCAAGTAAGCTCTGCACACACTGCGAAACCACCGGGGCAACGCTCTCCAAGCCAACAGAGAACAAACTGGCAAGCTCTGCCCGGACTGGCTGCAGCAGAAGCTTCTCCGTTTTCTCCAACAGCCCTGAGGCACTGACCCACCTCTCCAGTTTTGGCATCATCTCAGTAGACCAGGCATGCAAGGCCGGAGCCTCCACGGCAATGGGCGGCACATGCTGGAACGAGGGCTGCCTGTGTAGGGAAAAACGGGACACCTCCACCAGAATCTTGGAAAGGGCGCGGTACTCGTCCCGCCATGGCAAATCACCTGGTACGAACGCCCAAGCCGGATGCTCCACACAGGACGTGGCTCGAAGCCCGTTCTCCACGTCATCCAAATTGATGATGGACATCTCGCCATCCGACTCGATCTGGCAGTTGTGCTCCAGCGCGTAGGCCACTGCGTTCCTTAGGTGGGATGCGTTGCGTGGGCCTAGCCGGCCTGGAAGGCGGTTTGGAAACCCACGCCCGGAAAGCCATCGTGGCCTGCCTGTGTTTTGTGAGTGTAAGGTTTGGTGACATGGCAATGAGATTTCATGTTGTAGCTTCTGGCTCGTGACCCTTTGGCACTGCCAACCCCAACGTTGACCTGGTCACCTTGCCATGTGTGGCCTACGTGCGCCTCTTCCTGTTCATCCACCCTGGGCTTTCTTGTCGGGCCAAAAACAGCGTGGAACAACTACAACCGAAGGCCCCACGTGCAACCAGTAGCCCTTTGTAGCAAGAGAAAGGAGCCGTGTGCAGCCATCCAAACACACCCAGAGGGAACGCCCCAATGTTTTCGACACACCTGCTCTACCCAACTCAAAAGTGGGTCTGAAATGGGACCGTGTTCCGAATTACACGGGGCAAAGGGGCGCCGGGAAACAGCAGTCAGGGAAACAGTAGTCTTGCCACAGCCGCTGCCCACTACGTTGCAGCCGAGAAACAGCTGTTCGTAGAGCCGCGCCTGCAACTCAATTCGCGCCAGCTGCGAGGCTGTGTCCTTCAGGTGGCGCTCCATTGTGGCCAGCTCCTCTGCTGCTTTGGAAGCTTCCGGCTTCTTGCTCTTCTTGCTGCAAGCGTCCGCCGCAAAGGGGCATTTCTTGACCTCAGCCAAGGCCTTGCCCGCAGGCAGGACCAACTCGTCCAAGAACTCTGCGCCTAGGCTGGCGGTCCTGGTGGCAGCAGAAAAGGTCAACGCGTTTGCCAGTTTGCCCAAGAGCTCCGAAACTCGGCCACAGGCCTCCTTAAAGGCAGTCTCCTCACCGCTGGTCGAGATGCGCCTTGCTGCCACAGCTGTCAAGCTAACGCCCATTTCGTGCTGGCAAAAGAACCTCAACAACGCAGGCTGGTCTTGAACCTTGCCTGTTTCTTTCACATTGTCCAGCACCTCGAGCTGCTCCTTCAACGCCAGAAAGTCGGTCTGTTCAAGCAATACCTTGGCCTTCCCAAGCGCGGATTGGAGCTCGCGGGCCAAGAAGTCAGGCTCCTTACAGGCTTCCAGCACAGCCGTTACCAAGGCAGTTGCCTCCTCCAAGGTTGGCTTCTGGGCAGAGCGCCCTTTGTCAGCTTCAAAGGCGACAACCTCCTCTGATGCGATGTTGCGCAACGCGCCGAGCACACGCTGCTCAACTTGAACTGTGACCAGCTCCTCTGCTTGCTGCTTGCCCAAGGCGGCAACCAGCGCCCGTGCCTCAGGGCACGTGGCTTGCAACTGCTGGCAGAAGGCCCCGTGGTCACTGTACAGCAAAGATTGGCTGGCCCTTGCCAACAAGCAAGCCAAGTGGAAGCCAGGCCCAAGGATCCTGGCAGGGAGGCCCAAAGACTGCAAACACGGCTGAAAGCCCTCCATTGCCTCGTTCCACGCGTCAAAGGCTGTGATGTATGCGTCCGGCTCTGGGTTGGCCACACACACAAGGGCCAATAGCCGTTGAGTTGCAGTGGCCGATGCTTCCAGTCCTTCCAAGGCCTCAACCAAGTCCTGCAAGTTGTCTTTGTTGGAGCTTTGGTTGGCACGCCGGATGTTATCCCGACAGCCCCGCACGACCTTTCCAAGCGCAGCGGATCGTTTGGAGCAATCCTGCTTGTAAGCCTTGAGCCTTTCAGCCTCCTGGCCACAAGGGGGGTCGACCAAGCTGACCTCAGCAAAGGCAGACGCTTCTTTCTGCAGCTTCTCCTCCAAAGTCTTGCGCGCCCTGGTCGCGCGGCCGTCTATCACCAGCATGTTGCGGCTGGCCTCCTGCTGCTTCGTGCTCTGGATAGACTGGCTGCTCTCCCTGCCATGCGTTGGCGGCTTTGCCTTGGAAGGCCCGCTGGCAAGGGGGACACCTGCGGCTGAAGGGGTCTGAGACTGACCGGCTGAGGCTTGGAAGTCTTTGGAGGCTTTGCGGGCTTGGTGCCTGACACTGCTGCGTCCGTCTTAGGCTTTGGCTTAGCTGCTGCTTTGGTACAGGATGGGCCCAAAAGACCCACACCTGCCAAGCCACCTGCTTCTTCAGAGCTGTCCTCCTCGCTCTCGCTGCTGCTGGAACTGCTGTCACTTGAGCCGCTCTTCTCTCCTTCGCCGGCCGGAACAGCGCCTGAGGCGGAGCCGTTGCTCGCTGACTTGCAGGCAGCCAGAAGGCTGCTTGCGCTCAAGTCCGGCCCTTGCACAGAGCTGGCTTGGCGAGCTTTTGCTCCTGCTTGCACTGCCTTTGTCATTTCCTGCTTCTTCAACTCAAAGGCTTCCTCCTGAAAGATATCCTGCTTGCTAGAGTCATGCTCCACAACTCTTTCCTTGACAGCTACATCACTGTAGTCTTCGAAATCGAACTCGCCCTCAGGGCCCACCGAAACAAAGACACCCTTCAGCAACTGGCCTTTGATGACTTCAGTGACCTCCTTGGACTGGTCCCAAGCTCCCCAACGCTTGGTGCTCCAGTGGCTGCTCAAAACGAATTTCTTCTTGGGGGCGATAAATCGCCCCCCGTCGGTGCGCTCCACAGCAAGCTCCTTCTGGGCCGCCAAGAGGTCGCTCTTTCGCTTCAGTCGAACTTTCCCTGGATCTTCGTTATGCTGCTTGATCCATTCCTTGAGGGAACCAAGAAACTGCTTGTGTTCTTGTTGGTGCTGCTTCTGGGACACGTGCTTGAAGTAAGCGCTGTAAGACGGCCATTTGGCGTTGAGGCCTGCCGAGCAGAGGAAGGCAGCCCAGCAACCCAGCCGATCACGATTTCAATCGGAAAAAAGGGGCACAGGGCGCAGGGCTTCAAACTCAAACTCAAATGGCCAACTCGTACTCGTACGCTTCAAGGGGTGGTTTGCAGTTTGACATGGGCCGCGCAAACCCCAAAGCAAGATGGAACAACACACGAGAAAATGGACCCGCCCAGCCTAGGGCCCTAAACACGTTGAAGCAAGGGAGGCAAAGCTTCCCTTCAGGGACTCGGCAAGGGCCCATGTCCCCTGAAGTCTTTCGGTACTTGGCCCAAGGCCGCTTGACCTCCATCTCAGACGCTTCACTCAAGTCATCCAATGACACCGCCAAAGGCGACTTATCGGTGGACTTCGCATTGCACAGGCAGCAGGTGCAAGCTCTGGACATGGTGAACACGACGGGGAGGCCCTTGCTTGTGATGGCCGAATGCTCTGAGGGGGCTGGCCCCTCATCATGGCCGACTGGCACAACATCCTGGGCTTCCTCCTCCCCTGCGTCCAACATGGCGACAGAGGGGGGCCCGGTAGCAGGAAACCGGCCTATCCTGGGCCAAGGTTCTGCGGGGACACGCCGTCAGCAAAACTCGCATGTGAGCGGTTTCCCCGACTTAGGGCAAATCGCTGAAAAACTCTGCCCGCCGTCCTCACCCCACAAGTCCCAAGGGGCCAGGTTCCGAAAGTTTGCTGGCTGCACAAAATCGCCCGAAGACTTGCCCCGAAAGAACTGCCCCGAAAGATGCGTCGAGAAAAACACAGATTGCGTAGAGAAAGCCGGGGCTTGTGTAGAGAAACCACGGTTTTGCGTAGAGAAACATGCGTTACAAAACGAAACAATTGTTTCTTGTTCAAACAATTGTTGTGAACAATTGCAACATTCCCGAAAACAATTGTCACATGAAACTTTTATGTAAGTTGTCACAAGAGTTGTGTCGAGAAACGAAGGAGTTATGTCGAGAAACGAAGGAGTTATGTCGAGAAACGAGGGAGTTGTGTCGAGATGTTTCCCGGCAATTTGTTGACCAAATGGTTCGGCAAATGTTGCGACAATTGTTTAACATTGACTGGCTTCAACACAACTATTTCGACAAAATAAGCACATGTAGCGGACAAATGCTGCGGAACAATTTGACCGCAACTCTTTGGCTGACAGCCTGTGGCCCGTGGCCTGTGGCGTTTGTCAGAAACCCTGCAGCGCAGTCTGTGCCTCTTTCTCCTGCCATGGGTCCAGCGCGCAGGGTCGTCTACCGGCCTTAGGCCGAAAGACACAGTCTGCAAAGCAAGTGCTACGTGGCCTAGGGCCTAAAGATGTTGAATGCGCTCAGCCCGCCGCTCCAACTCTTCAGCGGAATGGCCTTCGCTGAAATGACCAAGCCTGAGGCCGCCCATTGAAAGGTGAAAGGATCGGGCGATGGATTTGTCCCAAGCTTGGTCGGTGAAGCCAGCGACAATCCACCTCTTGAGGCGGAGCTGGCACTCCAGGTCGCTGAGGTGGCCCTTAGTCATGGACTTCCGGCACGATGCGTACGCTCCGTCTGCGTGGTCTGTGTGTCGCCCGCACACCGCTGACCAGCCAATGTGCTTGCCAGCGCCATATAGCGGCGCGAGCTGAAAGCTGTGCCATCGCACAGCGCGTTTTTGGTGCACCCTGCTTGTCAGGGACGCGGCCTCAGGTCCCAAAGGATGGTCGGAGCTAGATGCTGCTGACTCCGACTGGTCTGTGGGGAAAGCCCAGGCTGCTGGCTCCAACAACACAAAAGGCTCGGCTTGGCTGGAAGCCACACTTTCACAGGTGCTAAAGGACACATCGCTCTCGCTTTCATCTGGATCCCGACCCTCTTGCCGGTCCTGCCGTTTGCGCTTTGACCCGGCCGAAGGCCTACGCTTGTCATCCGGTTGCCTTTGCCTGCGCTTGTTAGGCTGCTTGGGGCCGAGAGCCCGGAAAGCTTGCAATGCTGACACCGAGTCTTGTGTGCTTTTGAGCTGGGACAGCAAGTGGCCATCTTCAACTTCCTCCTCTGCCCCAATGTCGAACCTACTGAGTTCAGCAATTGGGGCTGGGCGCAGGACACTTAGCTTCCAGTCACTGGCTTCTTTTGCTCTGTTGGCGAAAAAGAGGCCATCTCCTTCAACGCGCGCAGCTGAGTCTGCATTCCCTGGCAAGCAGTCAAGGGAGTACAGAACCTCTGCGTTGGCCACGACTGGCTGCGCAGCACGGTGCAAAACAATGAGAGCAGCTTGCCAGGGGTGCCTGCGGGTGTGAAAGGCGACGCACACATAGCGGTCTAGCCCCGTGGCGGCGGAGCGCAGGGCAAGCAGCAGGGGCTCAGCTGCAACTTGCTTGGGTGTTGGCGCCTTGCTTTTCACAAGTGTCCAGAACCGCTGCTGCAAGGATTGCATTGACAGCTGCTGCTCTTGCGTCAGGGTGCTTGCGCAGCCATTGTCGGCACACAAGCTGAATAAGGGGCATGGCTCTTCAGGCGCTCCCTCAAACGCACCGTCATTTGCATCTTGCAATGACCGCGTTGCTCGCTCAAACATTGCCACCAGGTCAGCTTGCTTGCTCATGTTGCTGGACACGACGTGTCTGGACAATGAATGGCCACAGACCGCTGCTGTGTTCCATGGGCCTCCGGTCAAGTTCGCGTCGTCGTGCGCAGCGGCAGCGCTCTTGATGGTCTTGGCCAACACATTGTCAGCATGTGCCCTTCTGCCCCAGGAACGCTTGTCTTCGGGCGATAGTTGGCGCCAGGCGCGTGTGGCTTCCGCCAAACGATCCGCCCTGCTCATGCCACCGCCTTGCCTGGCCATCATTCTGCTGAAAAGGTGCCAACCGTTGAGCCCCTTGTTTCGGGTTGAAGAGTGAATCCACTCAGGCCTCTTCAGTCCTTCCCGAGGGTCCTTGACGTGGCCGGCCTTCATTCTCCAAAGTTGGACGTGGCGGGCAAAGCTGTTGGTGTAGTGTTTGGCAGCCAAAAAAGGCAATGCTGGCTTGGGCCCTCTGGTCTTGCTGAGCCACTGAGTGAACCTGGCAAACATGCGCTCTACATAAGTAGACGTTGGCACAACCCGCTCGAAGAGCGATGCGAGAAACACTTGCGTGCTGTCTTCCAGAAGCTGGTCAGCGCTGTCCAAGGAAGCCCGCAGCTTTTTACTGAACCCATCCAAACAGCAAGGGCTGGCTGTCCAGTAGGCGGCTGCCTGAGCTCGCCTGGCTTCCAATGAGAGCGAGCAGTCGCAAACGGCGGCCAGCTTCCAAGGGTACTGCTGCCACGGAAAAACTAACTTTCGCCAGAGCTGGCCGACAACTATGCAGAAACACCGTCGCGTGATTCGAAGGCGCTTCTGATGCCACGAGGCCAAAGGCCCGTAGATCGCCACAACTGGGCCCCAGGCCGAGGACTGGGCGTCACGCCAGAGTTTTGTCAGAGACAGCAGCGCCTTGGTGGCCGGGTTTTCCTCCGCGTTGCAAAAGCTTGCAGCTGTCAAGGGCGCCCCTGCCATGTCCCCAGCGTCATCTTCATCATCTGTTTCGTCAGGAAGGCCGCGCTCTGAAAGCCAGGTAGCGTGCTTGAACAAGGAATAGTGGATCACCATGACAGGGCCTGTCAGCACGCCCCACAGTGCTGTGCTGAACTGGCACTCGCTGTCCACCATGAAGTGGCACGCCTTGGCCAGCCGCTGGCGCGCAAGCCGGCGCCAAGAACGGGTCTCATTCACCGGAACACCCAGCGCAGCCCCTTCGTCGTCTGACGAGTCGGCCTCGTCGGGCTGAGTCCGGGCCTGGCCAGCCATGGCCTGGAAGGCGGCTGGAAGAAGCCCGCAAAAATGCTGCATTGCAGAAATATGGCAGATGCACGGGGCCACTTTCGTCCACTTGTTCATGGCGGGAACCAGAACTGGAGTCAGCAATGTGTCTTGTAGAACGCGCATGCCCTTCTCCACGCTCTCGTCCCTGTCGCTGCAGCAGCCGCGGCACACGTGCGTCGGCGGTCCTGCAGGGCAAGGCGGCAAGTTGTAACAAACGCCAGCCCCCGTGTTCCCCAAACGCACAGACGATCCACATGTCATGTAGCAAACCCGATTAGCCCCTCAAGATTCCAAGCCCACCAAACAATCCGAACAGCTCCAACAAGTAGTCTGGAGAAACAAGGTACCCTTGCTGGACATGGCTGTTACAAAGCCAATTAGGGCTGCCTGAACACAAAGAACATGTGGCTAGGCTGCAGCATTTTTGCGAGCGGCGACCCTGCAAAGCTGAGTCGGCAGGGCCAGCAAAACAGGAAAAGCAGCCAGAGTGCCACACCCCAGCTCCAAGACTAAACCAGAGAAGGGCCAACAACACAACGTGAGTGATAAACCAAAAGCACAAAATCAAAATGGCGTTCCGTCGGTTTTGCGGTTTGCGTTTTGGGCGCCCGGAGCTGGGGCGTGACTGGGCCGAAGGCCAAGCGAAAGTGAGCTGCGCAAGCTGAGCCGGAGACAAGGCCTCAGGCCAACGCCCAGAGGGCGGTTGAAGGCCAAAAGGCCATGCAGCCACAGACTTGGCTGAAAGCCGCCTTTCACCACCTCCCTTCCTGCCAGGAGGACCAAGACGATCCCCAACCCCAGCTGCGCTTTGGGGTGGTTGGCGGGGGCAACAACTCTGTCCCGCCCCACTGGTTCTTCAAGTACATGGCCAGGTTGGTCGAGGTGGACAACGCCTGGTCCACGCAGCCAGCCCCTCGAGGCCCCGACGGGGTATTGATCACGCGCCGGACCTGCGACCACGCCAGCTCAGAGTCGCCCAGCTTGTGGTACAAGGCCCAGCAAAGGGCCTTGACAACCCGCAGCTGGCCCCTGGAGGCTGCCTTTGGGCAGGCGGTTGCCCCAGACGGGGATCGCACCCGAAGACCGCCGGCCGTCATGTGGTTGCACAGGACGCTGGCCAAGTGGCAGAGCGTGTCATTGCCACCCGGGAAACTGTTCGGCCGGGCGTCGATCAAGGCCATGAGAGCTGTCCAATTGGCGGGCTTGCCGTTCATGTTGGTGACGGCGTCTGCGAGCAAGGGGCACTTCTGCAAGCAAGTGTCCACTGCCAAGGTGACGCCCATGCGGGCTGCATGGTGCAGCAAAGTCAAACCATTGCTGTCCCTAGCGTCGAGGAGCATCCTGTCAGGCACACTGCTCAGGTGGGCAACAAAGTCCAAGACCGATCCAGTGATCAGGTGCTGGAAGGCGTCCCTGGCCCATGTCTTGGAGACCTTCTCCTGTTCAAGCCTGTCGATTAAGGCCTGCTGCGAAAGCTGCTGGGTCTCCAGCAACCTCAGGACTTGGTCCAAGACCTTACCTGACACAGGGTCGCTTGCCTGACGCTGCTGCCGCTCCTCCTCCTTCTCCTGGGGCTGCTGCTGCTCGGCACTGTTGTCGTCATCCCAGTCAGCCTCCTCCTTCGGCGACGCGCTCAGATGAGCACGTGCATTGGTTTTCCTGGATTTTCCTGTGCTGAATGGCCTTAACTACCAAACTGCGTAGTCTATGCAACAGTCAGACTGTGACTTAAACCTGCAAATAAGGGTTTGAATGTTTAGTTTAGACTGTTTAGACTGTCAGGCCTTGCCCCTCCAGCTTCCTCTCGGCGGTGTTGGCGTCCGTGGCCGCTGCATCCTTCTGGTTCTCCATCTCTTGGACTGGGGCCGAGCCCTGAGCCTCGCCATCTTGCCCCTTGACACTGGCCGAGCCCTCAGGCGCTGTTGTCAGGGCCAGCACCTTCTGGTCCAACTGCCTCAGGTTTGCCACCAGCTTGTTCAACTTGCGCTGGCGGAGCTCAGCGGCCATGTCGGAGTCCACGCTGCAAGTAGATCCACGAGGCGTGGACTGTGGACTGCCACCGCCGGCCATCACCCAGGAGCACTCAGCATCAGACGCAGGAGCCTCAGAGGTGTCCGCGCCATCACCGCTGGACGAGCGCTCCTTCCTGCCCACAAGGACCGTGCTTCCAGCGTCTGACTCGGTGACGTCACCCTCGCGGCCCTCGCCAGGCTTTGGGCCTGACATAGGCGCCTCCAACTTTCGCACCTTCCTCACAAAGCACCTATTGACAAAGCCAAGACTCAGCGCTTTCTGGGTCAGCTGAAGAGGGGTGCACATCTGGTTCACGGCAACATCATAGACCGGGCGGTCTTGCCGAACTTGGTCAGAGACCTCAGCCAACCAGTCCACAGGACGCACCGTGTTCACACGCCTTGCGCTTGGGGGCGCCCTGCTGCGCATGTCGACGATGTTGCGAAGCTGCGTCACGTGACGCTCGCACTCCTGCGCCGTCCACCCGAAAAGCCTCATAAGAGTAAGACACAACAAGGTCGCAGACCTGTGGGCACCGTTCCTGCACACCGAAAGCACGGAGCGCTTTTCCACGACCAAGAGGCGGATGACTTCGTCCACAAGCTCGAGCAACTGGGCCAGGGGCACGTCATTGTGGACAACGGCCGTGCCGTCCACGGGCTCCAAAAAGCGCGCGCAGCAGGTCTCCTCCTCACCTACAACCGCCCTGCAAGCAGGCCAGACAACACTGATCTCGTTCTGCATGAGGCTATTGGGCGTCAGCGCTGCCTGTCCTCCAAGCCACAGCTTGCCGCCCCCTGGGATGTCCAGCATGACGTGCATTGGGCTCCTGAAAGGTTTACAGAGAACATGGAGCAAGCAAACATCACTTCGTTCTTGGGCTTACAAAAGCAGTCAGGCTCAGGCTGGGGGCTTCGACCTAACAGTACTTTGACCCCCTTCCCTACCCGGTAGCCTTTGGCCTTTGGCCTTTGTGCCCTGGGTAAGCCGATCATGCTTGAACTACTTTGCCGCTCTTTGAGCGACCATGCCTCCGGTTGTACTCGTCTCGTGCGTAGCGCACTGCGCTGACACCGCCATACGCGTCAGTGACCAAGTAGTCCTTCAAAATGCCAAGACCTTCGGCAAAGCCGGTCTCACCCATTTCAGGACTAGGCCAGAGGCCGCGGAGCTGGCTGCTCCTCAAGTCACCAGGCAGGAAGCACTTGCCCAGCCCGAACGTGGAGGCCTCCACGAAGCGACTGTCAGCCATTGCTGGCAACCCAAGGCTGAGAGTCGCCAGGGCTAGCGCGTGAACTTGAGCAAAACGGCTGCTGACGAACAACAAGCGGTCACGCAAAGCCGTGGACAAGCGCAGCCTGCGTTCCCGACGAAGACTCGGCCACAGGCCATATCACAACTCGGCCACAGGCCACTTTCATGTCTTGTCTGGTCTTGCAGAAATGAACCAAGGGCACAACCGCAAGCAGCAACTACAGGCCCTGGAAATCATGTCAGAGGTAAACCAGGACCCAGTGTAAAACTCAAGGTTTAGATCAGAGGCCAGGGCCTGGAATAAACATGCAGAAGGGCCAGCCATGAATCAGCAAGCCAGGCCCTGGAAATCATTTCAGATAACAGGAGCCGGTGTAAAACTCAAGGTTCAGATATGAGGCCAGGGCCTGGAATAAAAATGACAAGCCAGGCCCTGGAAACTTTCAGTGCAGCAGTAGGTTCTCCATGAGATTTCCCCTTTTCCATGTTAGTTGCACTGCAAGTTGTGTGCCTGAACATGCCCCCCCCAACCACCCCCGACCGTTTGCATGCACACACCCCCCACAGGTCAGTCCTGACCAGGGCCCGGCGAAGAAGGCCAAGAACTCCTGGGCCCGCCGTGCCCGGCGCTTGTTCTCAGTAACTGCGCCAAAGGCGAGCTCCAAAAACTGGGCAGCGTGCTGCCTGCCGGCTAACCACTCGGCTTGCAAGCCTGGGGGCTCCTGCGGCAGGACAATGAGCGTTCCTTGCAAGGCTGTCTTGACGGCTGCAATCAGGCTCCTCATTTTCTGCCCTCGGCTCAAAGTTTTCGCAACGCAGAAAGCACCAGGGAGCACGCCGAGAGCTTTTGTCACCCTCTCGACGACATTGCCATTCCTATGTTGGGCGCATAAGTTCGGAAGCAGGTAACAATGTTCTGGCAAAGACGCATGCAAGTGCTTCAGTAGCCGTATGTTGGCACTAAACTGGTCACAAGTCACCAAAACTACTGGGAAGCGAGCAGCTTGGGCAAACTCACTTGGCCAAAGGCCGCCCAGGTTCTGACAGAGCGCGCCAAACATGCAGGGCGCAGTCTTGTTTGGCAAGGCCTGAGGGGGGCGGACGATGTCGTAGTCTCGGGTCTGGTCGGCTGCGCGCACGCTGATCTGCGCGTGGGATGCCAAAATGGACCATGTACCAGGCCCAAGGCCGTGCAGGGCGACATCTAGCTTGTTTAGAATGTGGAAGAGAGGGCCCTGTCCAGCCTCAGTGGCAGCGTGCGCCATCTGGCGGCACTCACGGTCCATGCCTTCCCGCTGCGTTTGCTCGATTAGCTGAGCAACAAAAAGCCTGGCTCTCCGCGCATGCGCTGCGCTGGCTCCATCAACTTCTTGCGCAACTTGGCGAAGCGCCGCATTCTCGCTGGCAAAAGCTGCCCTCAACAGCGCCTCAGGCGTCCACTTCTTCCAGCCTCCCTTGCCAGACGGCTTGGCCCTGCGGCCATCTTCTGCGACGGGCAGCAGGTGGTCAATGGTTCTGCTCCGGCCGCCGGCGTTGTTAGCTACGGCCTGACGTCTCAAACTGTCAGCCTTGTGCTTCAGATGCCGCCGCAGCTGATGCATTCGCGCTGTGCGGCGCATGCGTTTTCCCCATTTGCCCAGCCGAGCTCTTGGAGCTCGCAAGGCTGCTGGGGCCTGAGCAGCTGCCGCCGCAATGCGGGCCATGTCCATCAAAGAAGCCATGGCCCATGGCCACTCAAGGCGCCTGGGGGCTTGCAAAAGGCCAGGCGGCTACAACTACAAGTTACAAGAGTCGCAAGGCTTGACGCCTGACAAACGGCGGCACCAAACAGTTGCAACACGGCTGACTGAAATCGCATGCCGGCCCAACACCAAAGTTGTCCAACAACCGCTGCAGCACCAAAACGTTTCAAGAAATGCTGCGTCTGTGAGTTGCACAACTGGTTGCAGCAGTTCTGTCTGCATGCCTATGTTTTGCCAGGTTCAACTGGTGCAACAATTGTTTGGGCCCCAGGGTTTTGACAAAACAATTGTTGCAACAATTGTTTGGGACCCAGGGTTTTGTCAAAACAATTGTGGCAACAATTGTTTGGGCCCCAGGGCTTTGTCAAAACAATTGTTGCGACAATTGTTTGGCCCCCAGGGTTTTGTCAAAACAATTGTTGCAACAATTCTTTGGCCCCCAGGGTTTTGTCAACAATTGTTGCAACAATTGTTTGGGCCACAGGGTTTTGCGAAACAATTGTCGAAACAATTGTCGCAGATTTCGGGGTGTTTTGGCTGGATTTCAACTGGGCGCTCGCAGAAGCTCTTTTGAAAACATTCAAGTTATATGAACCCCCACTGAGACTGTTTTAATGGTGGCAACTGGTGAAGGAACCTTTACGACACTTTTGGCACCAAATGGTCAAAGATGAAGTGACAGGGTTGTGGGATGAAGGGGTTTTCCCGCACTTCTGTGATACAAGGGAATCTCCCCCTTTATATGGGGGGTTGAACGTCTTTGGGAAGCCCTTTTTGTTGTATCACAGAAGTGATCATGTCCCACAGCGCTGTGAAGTGGTGTTTGAACCAGCGATTGGTCATGCAAGTCTCGATTCGGTTTATTCTGGAAATCGCCATAGGTCCTGTCGTTCTTTTTGGCAGGACGAGGGGAGCACTCACTAAATCCCCATCCCCCTAATCATGAATTGGGGGAGGTGGGTGAGCCTCTGGAGTTCCAGTTATGGTTCCATTTTTGTGGGGACTACTAGATACTTGGAATGGGTGGCCGTATGGTAACGGGGATCTCAGAAAGTTTTCCACAAGAACCAGCGACTCATACAATTCTATAGGGGACACTTCCCCATTCTTTCCAGGGATCCTTCTTTTCAAAAAACCATCAGAAACAGCTGGTTTTTTAAAAGCACGACGGTTGAACAAAATGGGGAATCAACCCCTAGAACAATAGCGCCTTCCCCCAAAGTCCCCCCACCGGGCGCACGACATCTTGATGCGAGGCTTCATAAGCAGCCCCCGATCCCTGCCGCTTCCCTCCCCCGACCCACGCACAAAAACAAACACACAGACGCAGACAAGGACACATACACATTGTCATACACACAAACAAACACAAGCAAAACACATGCAAAACACAAACAAGCACAAACAAAACACAAACACACACACAAACACACACGAACACCCACACGCACCCACGGACACGCGCAATCGCACCCGCCCAGGCCCATGCCCATGCCAACTCAAGCACACACACACACACACACACACCCGCACCCACACACCCCCACCCCCACCCCCACCCCCACGCGCACGCACACACACACACACACACACGAGCACCGCGTCGAAGCGGGCCAGACATGCATCACCTTCAGCCCAGCTACTATAAGGGCTTACACAATTTGGAACGGGGCTGTGAAGTGCTTGCGAGTCATGGTCAGGGGGATGATGTGTGTCATTCAGTCCTTGATACTATGTAGTACCGGTGGACAAAGGGAACGCCTTGAGTCCATGTTCAATGAATAAAAACCAAAACAAAGAAGCAGGGAAAACGTCCTGAGGGCAGCTCACTTTCTCACTTCCCGAGTTGGACTTCAAGCTTTTTGGGAGACCATTTTAGTGACGAACAAAAAGTGAATTCTTACTTGTTTGGCTTATTTACTCGATAAGAGAGCTTAAGAGCAAACCATGGTTGTTGGGAAACATCTTGCATTTTTTGCTTATTGTGGTTTAGTGGTGGAAAGCCAACCACTTGCTAAAATTCGATTGAAGCTTTTGGGTCCAGAACGTAGCGTTTCTAGGGTCGACAGGCTCGATTGTTGCAACGGAATCAAGAGCAGGGGACCTGAAAAGCTGTTGTTTCCAACTCGAATTGGTTGAGGTTCAACACCCAAAGCCACCCGAAATCTGCACGAAAACGCCGTAGCCGTTCCGTAGCCGAGGAGCACGAAGCAGCTGCGGGCCTGCAAGGTGTCGAGAAATCAGCTCGGGGATTGCTAGGTCTCAGCTTCCCCCTGTTAACCCCGGATTAAGCAGAACCCCTGGTTGATGTTGATTGGGGGGTGTCCAATTCCTTTTAATTAGTGGGGATTCAGACCATTTTTGGAGGGAACACCCCCCGAACAATGGGACGGGTTTATTAATCCTGGGTCAACATTGCTTGGTGGTTTGGGTTGGTGGACAGGGGGCTAGCTCCCCGATTTGGGTTCAAAAGTTCAAAAGGAACCCGTCCAAACCACAGGGAAGCTGAAGTTCGCTTGGTGATTTGGCCATGTCTCAAAACCAATGGGATCCAATTTGGGGGAATTGGTGCACCACCCATTTTAGTCTTTTTTAGTGGGGATTGGGATGTGACCCATGGTCATTTGGGTCTCAGCTTCCCCCTACTTGGTGGTTTGGCTGTAGGTCAAAACCGTTTTGGGATCCCATTTGGGGGATAGGTGAATTCACAACCCGTTTTAGTCGGGATTTCAGTTGGGATTGGGATGTTTAATTTGGGGGTACGGGGTTGTGACCCACAAACGTATATGTTATATATAAAAAACAGTAAACACATAGTAACCCTTGTGCTCACCAGGGGATTGAGGTCTATGTGTCCTATGGATGGACAACATTCTGCATGAGTTGGTAGGTGTTTTTTTCCCCAGTATTCAGTGTTTCATCCGTCCCAACTGGAGCACGATGTCTATGCGTGTCTATGTATGAATTGCAGATCAGGTCCAGGCAAAGTCATAAGTATATATGTATATAGACATATCCATACATACACATACGTATAGATACATACACATATGTATCCATGCATACACATATGCATAGATACATACACATATGTATCCATACTGTTAAAACCCTCTAGGCCCCGTGCCGAAATTGGGTAGCAGTTCTGAGGTCCTTGTTGGTGTTGCTTCCCAAGTTCCATTGATCGCCATTTGGCTCAAGGCTCAAGACACAATTGAGGTTCAAGATCTGATGTGTGACTGCGCACATACGTGACGGGCATTAAGAGCAAAACAACTGCTTGCGCCGCTTCGTCAGGACCACTGGTGTGATTATCATTCCCTCTTCCTTACAACGTTTACACGGGTTCGGCTATAACGGCATCGTCCGTATACACCTTTCTACGTGGTTGGTATTAAAGCTTGAGGGTTCGGTGCACAGCGTCCCACGGGACGTCCCCTTGCCGTCTCTTGACAGGTTATCAGCCGTAACTACAAGCTCTACACTGGACTGGGAGACAGCTGGTTTATTGCGGGTACAGGGACAATAAAGGAACGATAACATACACAGTACAATGGCGTCTTCGGCTAGCCCAAGTACTGCAACTTTTGGGAACAGCAGCTCAGAGGGATCCAATGGATTGATGGCTCTTCCTGCGGTGATGGATATGATTGCAGATTCACAGGATGAACCTGGGAGCGGAGGTTCCGCGCTATTCAGCGACATATCTACTCCCACAAGATCATGGAAGCAGATCGATGTTCATCAGGAGTCGAAGAAAAGAGAATTCCCACCGAGAAGATCATCATCTTCGCCTGCGACACCACGGACGTCGCAGAAGGGCGTGAGATCGACATCGAAGGGTGGGAGGTCAAAATCACCCACCAGTGCAGATTTTCGCGCCGTGATCAAAGAGAAGAATAAGATGGAGGTGGAGATCGGGGAATATCAGAAGACACTTGATGAAATGTCGGCAGCAAAGGCGAATCTTAACCAAGAAGACTATGGAAGCACCATCCGGATCCAGGAGCTGGAAAGACGATGCGAGATTGCCAGCAAGCAGTCGGGACATCTAGTGAGTCACCACCAACACCACATGGCTGTGGCATGGCGCAAGTTTGAGGAAGAAGCCCAACAGATGCGCAAGGTGGAAATGAACGCATTTCAGTACGGGGAGAAGAAAGACATGGAGTCGAATATTATGATGCAACAGATGAGGCAAGCTGAAGGAACTATCATGGAGCAGAAGCGGGAGATTGCATTGATGAGATCCTACATGGCAAGCGAGAAGTCAGCCGCGCAGGAATCAGCTATACGTGCAAATCAGATACACCGTGAGGCTTCACAACAGATATCAGCTTATCAGCAACAGATCAGAGGCATAGAATCTTCTTCATCTATCGAGAAGTTCAACGAGGAGGAGATGGTCCAAAGTCTGAAATCACAGTTGGAGCATGCACTCGTCAAGCGCCCCGAGACGTACTCTTTGGAGGACTCCAGGGAACAGCTGATGACGAGGCTGAATGACATTACAGTATTTGCGGAACAGGAATCGAAGAGAGCAGATTGCTTGCTTCGCGAAAAAGAAGAGATCGTCAAACAGTATGAGTACGACGTGTCGATGAAGGACCAGATGATTGCTATTGAAGGTGGTCATCGTCAGGATGCGATCTTGGAGTTAGCCCAGGTCAAAGAAGAGAAACAAGAGGAACGGTGCACGATGGACGAGAAGTCGAAGGAGGCTGAGTACTGGAGATTGACAGCTAAGGGAATGTACGATGAGTACCTCGAGGAGATGCATGAGCTTCAGAGACAACTGAAGGAAAGAGAGGCGACGCTCAAGCAACAAGAGAGTTTTGTACGCCAGCTCGATGCTGACAACGAGGAACTACGTGCACACAAGAAGCTGGAGACACAGGAAGCCTCCAGCAGCAAAGATGGACATCGTGAACGAGCAGTAGTGAAACGCGCTGAGGGAGGAACCCAGGCTAATTCAAATT